TTTTTTTTTTTTGCGGCGATAACGCAGAAGGAAGTCTTTCAGTCGAGTCGCGTTTATTCGAGGCACACTTTGAGTTGACAAACTAGCAAACTGTGGCTTTGTACGCACGATCAAATTCGCCAGCAAGTGAAACATCTCGTCTGCGATACTTTTACGTAGATGTGGATATCGAGTAGCGCTGCCGACGAACAGAATTCCTTTTGTAAATTATTATTATTATCATTACATCGTATAACAGAAAATGACAGCAGTTCTGATCAGTTTGATCAATGGCGCTGCTCCCTCGAAACGCAGAACGTTTTTCTTGCCTTGTATCGCGAGCGCGAGGTAAACAGGACAAAAAAAAAGAAGCACGAGCACCAGCCGCGCTCGTCGATGAGTTTACGTTTTCACATGATCAACCGAATTGTTTCAGGTACAGCCCGCTGGCAGGCGATCTCTTGGCGAACTCGATGCTACCCGGGAACGCGATGAACGGTTCTGGTTGGTGTATCTTCGTGTACAACCTCGCCCCAGAGACCGAGGAGAACGTGCTGTGGCAGTTATTCGGTCCGTTCGGCGCCGTCCAATCGGTCAAAGTGATTCGCGACCTGCAGACGAACAAGTGCAAAGGCTTTGGTTTCGTGACGATGACCAATTATGACGAGGCCGTGGTCGCCATCCAGAGCTTGAACGGCTACACGCTCGGTAACCGAGTCCTTCAAGTAAGCTTCAAAACGAACAAGAGCAAGGCGGCGTAGGACGACAAGCAACGGCATCAGCAACACCACCACGATCACCATCATCAGGCAGCAGCGGTAGCAGCAGCAGCAGCAGAAACGGTAGCAACAGCAACGCCAGCTGTGGCAACAGCCGCGGCCATGATCGGTCAAGCGACCGCTGCCAAGGCAGTGCTTGGTACAACGACCGCAGCAGCCACGGTGGTCGCCGCGACAGCGACCGCTGCTGCTGCGGCCGCGGCTGCGGCTGCGGCTGTGGTCACGCCCGCGACCGTCCAAGCGCTCGCGACTGCCTATGCTTCCACTAAGAAGATCGACCACCACCATCTCCCCGTCGATTCCGTGATCAACACCTTGAACAGTCGTGATCGCGGAGGGAACCATCGTAACAATCAGAACCACCATCAACACCAAGAACAACAGCAACAGCAAAATCATCCGTTTAAAGGTTACAACCTGTCCGCATACGAAACGATGATCAGGAATCTATCAGTCCCATCGAAGAAGTATCGATGAGACACAGACGACTTCGACGAGAACCACGGCGATGAACACATTTCCGACTAATGCAGAGGATGCTGAACTCCTTGGAGAACACTCGGCCGATTTTTTTCAACAGACGATGAAACAAAAAAAAAATACAGAGAGAGAGAGAGAGAGAGAATGAGAATGAGAATGAGAGTGAGAGAGCAGGAAGAAAGATGAGAATGCTAAGAGGTACTCGTGCGTGTATATGTGCGTGTATACGTGTGTCTGTACGAGCAAAGGTACGATGCGCATGCAGTGGGTGCGCGTGGCTGAGAGGGAGAGCGATGTGGAGAGACCAGGAGGAACAGACTGGCGAAGACGGTGAGAGAGGTAGGTCGTGATACGCGGTCGCTCACCCGATTATCCTACCTATTACATACATACCATGCATAGGAGGAACGAAGAGGAAGGTAAAGAGGAAGCTTCGCGCTTTCTTTCCTTCGCCTTAGTTTCACCTACTCTCCCTATCTCTCCCTCTTTGGTCATTCGTTCTTTTCTTTTTTTTTTTTCTTCCCGTTGTTCGTCCACGATAGAAGGGTAACGCGAGGTCCTGTCCTCTTTCGTGTCTCGCGGGATTCGCGACTGTGTCGTTTCGTCCTCGAGACACTACTAACGAGAGAGAGAGAGAGAGAGAGAGAGAGATAAAATCAGACGAAAAGAGAGTGAATCGTCTGTAACGATGAATCCCGTGGTTCGTACGCGACTGCTCGCGACATATTGCCGATTTATGCGCGTTGTATGCGCGCGAGGAAACACACGGACCACGTGACTACGAACAGACGTTTCTATAGCAATTGACAGACAAAGAGGAGATAGCTTCTCGTGGAGATGGAATCGACTGAAGACATGAACCAAAGAATCAACCAAAGACCAAAGAGTCACGACGACGTCAGGCTGTGAGACTGTGAAGCAAAACTTATAAAAAAAAAAAAAAAAAAAAAGGCAGGGCCTGATTGAACTTTTTTTCTAGAATTACCGACAACCCACGTTGATAGAGAGACAACCGAAGGGGAGCCGGCAGCGCCTCGCGTTTCCCCGATTAGATCGGCTATCTGTGAACTCGATCCAGAGGATCGGTAGACCCACACACACGGAGGACGGGAAAGAGTGCGTAGTAGTAAGTGGTTGGTAGAGGAATGGTGTAGAGACAAGTGAGTAGAGAGAGAATAGAAAGACGTTGCGAGACAATATTGACGGATCGTGATCGAGGACGGGACGGGGACCGATCGATGAATCGATCGAATTTGAAGAGGCAAGTCGCTCTCTGGCGGAGGATATAAGAGAAACGGGATGCGCGTGCGAAGAGAAGCCTCGCGTTCGATTTTCAGAAAGCGACGGAGAGAACGGTGAAGCTAGTTGTTTTACTTACGAACGATTGATTCCCCTTTTTCTTTTTCCTGTTTAGCCAGTAAACGTTTAAACGTACTTAAAGAAAGAAGAAGAAAAAAACAGAAGAAAATTAAGCTTTCTTAATCCGTAGAATTAAGGACGAGACATTGTTCGATGAGAAGTGAAAAGACGAAGTATAATAATTATTACCTATTTAAGAAGATATTTTAGGGCTTACGTGCTATATACACTACAATGCGATTGTCGCGACAGATCGAGTGATCGAAACATCACAACAGTGACCCGAGGGATTACGTCACGTTTCCTTATGTAACGCAGCAACGCGTTGTACTTTTATCTTTTTTGCTAGTCACAAGCTCTTGTACTTCTCTGCCGATTGCCCAAAGAATTAATTTTTCTTTTCCTTTT